AAAAAACACTTAAATTCAGTTAGAATGATGTGAATTAAACATGTCCCCATTACGTAAATTGTTCCCTGTCTCACTATCCTGCTGCCCCATCTCTGTCTTGCTCTGCTGTCCCTGCACACTCGCCCTCTGGGCCCCCATCCCCATGCGCCCCTCTCCCCCTGTGGCTCCCTCCATCCCCATGCACTCCTCACTCCCTCTGCCCCCCATGCACCCCTCTCCCTCCAGTTCCCCCCATCCCCGCGCGCTCCTCTCTCCCTCTTGGTAGACACCATATCCAGAAGCATTCACTCTCTATCACTGATGTACTGTAGTAGCAGTATGCAATGTAGAAATTTGCCAAGGCTACTTCAGTAGCATCTTCTAACCCCTCCTCTCCCCTCCACATACCCCACACCACCACTACCAAGAAGGATAAAGGCAACAGGTAAATGGGACACTGCCATCTTCAAGTTTGCCTCTGAGCCGCTTACCGTCCCGACGTGAAAATATATCGTTGTTCCTTCACTGTTGAAAGGAAGAATACTGGAACTTCTTTTCTATCAATATTGGAGTTTCACCTACACCAAATGAACTGTGTAGCAGTTCAAGAAGGAAGCTCACTCACTACCTGCTCCAGGGCAGTTGGGATGAGCAATAATTACTGGGTCAGCTAGCAGAGCCCACATTCCCAAGAATGAGTTTTTTCAGAGAAGAACTTTTGGATCAAGAGACAGAGGTGCTACCTGATATGTAACATGACCTCCAGTTCTGTAGGTAAGAAACTCTAAATTCAGATTTCCAGTGGCTGTTTGGACTTTTTTGCAAAGTCATTACATACTGTGTTCTCTGGTGAGAATGTAAATATGATACAGAAATGCTATCAGTAGTGTAAAGATCTGATTTTTTTCCTGGTTTTTAAATTATGAAATGGGAAAAGAATGGTCTTGAAACAGAGGATTGCTGAAGGATTAATGCATATTGTTTTGAAAGCAAGTAACCTGACACTCATTGTACATACTGTTTACATAGGTACTGGTTCATGCAGTAGTAAATAGTTTGCAGATAAGCTGGAGCCAAGGACTGTGTACAAATGGAAATTCAACTGGCCACAAGTATCTGGTTGGTCTGTGATCTAGTGACCAGTTATCAGTGACAGAGGGCTTCTGTCAACAAGTATGTGATTGGTTCTCTGATAGCTAACAGCTTGGGGCTACAAACAGGATGGTGAGAAGCCGTCAGATCTCTATCAGTTCAGGAGCTCTCTTGGTTCTCTGCTGTAAAAGCCACTTTATGCTTTAAGCAAAAAGGTTTATTTTCCCTTCAGTTGCTGTAAACAAGACTTTAAATTAATCAGAGTTCTTTTATAAGTGTGAACCAGTTACCCTATGACCCCTGCAAGCCAGTGAAAGCATCTGGAGAAGGGAGATTGAGAAATATCATTCTGATCAGTGGAAGAATCATCCCAGCAGATCTTGTGCACAGGAACCACAGAACTGTTAGTGTTTCCCTGTGCCTATAACACCCTGTTTCTTTTCTTGTCTGTGTGAAACATAGAATCATGGAAACCAGAAGCAGGTGCAATCCCTTCAAGCTTGCTCTGCCATTCAGTGTAATCATGACTGATCCTCTGCCTCAGTGCCAAATTCCCAATTTCCACCCTTACCCTTTGATATCTGAAAATTTATCTATGTCTTCCTTGAAAATATATTCAGTGACTTGACCTCCACAGCCTTCTATGTAGAGAATTCCACAGGTTCATTACGCTTATGAGTGAAGAAATTTTTCCTCATCACAGCCCTAAATGATTGCTCATCACAGCCCTAAATGATTGACCCTGTATCCAGACACTGTCCCTAGGCTCTAGAATCCCCAGCCATGGTATGGTGACTTGGTGGTTAGCACTGCTGCCTCTCAGCACCAGGAACCCAGGTTCGATTCCACCCTTAGTCGACTGTCTGTGTGGAGTTTGCAAATTCTCCCCATGTCTACATGGGTTTCCTCTGCATGCTCTGGTTTCCTCCCACAGTCCAAAGACATGCATATTAGGTGGATTGGCTATGCTATATTGCCCATAGTTTTCAGGAGTGTAAATGGGTCATCCATGGGTAAAGCAGGATTACAGGGATGGGGTGGAGAGATGGGTCTGGCTGGGTTGCTCTTTGGAAGGTCGGTGTGGACTTGTTGGGCTGAGTAGCCTGTTTCCACACTGTAGAATTCCATAGAATCCCTATGAAAAACATCTTTCCTGCACTTAGTACGACTAACCCTGTAAATTTATATGTTTCAATCCAATCCGCCTCATTCAGCTAACCTTTAGTGAGTACAGGCCCAGTCGAACCAATCTCTCTCCATAGGATACGTAGAGGGGCAAGTGGGAGTTCATAAAGTTTTGAACGTTTAGCTACTAGGTGCCAACAGTTCATAATTGTTTGCCTGTGGCTAGCGTCTATTTAATTGTAATAAATAGTAATCCTGTCAAGGTAATTTGCAGAATTCTGTTTTAAAAATTATCTTAACTTTTGTAATGTCTCTGGGATTGGTAGAGCTTCATTATGAGCATGCTACCCAGTGAGGCATAACAGTAACAATTGTCTCTAATCTGAGAGATATTTTTACACGGTTAAATGTAATTGGATTTCTTCGTGATCCCAGTCAAAGCCTGTTTTTCAAAGGAAGCATTGTAATTTAAGGAGAGAATAGCTACCAGTAGATGACTAATCCGGCTGGTCCTGCAGGTCTCTGTAATGGATAAGAACTGTTCACTTTTTCCATTTTTTAATGTTATGTTGCACGATTTCATGATAATGCAAACAGATTGATTTATGCTCAGTGCGCTTAACAATATAATTTTTTTTAAGCAACATGACAGCTACTTTGTTATCCGTGATGAGCTAATACTAAAACAGATGTCAGTGCTAATTTGCTAAAGCTGTTAGCAGTTTATCACCAATTTATACTGAATAAACAGGCACAGTAAGATCAACCTATTGAAACTAGTTCATCTTATTGTAACAACAGTGCATAATTCAAATTTCATTTCTCAAACTAAGCTGTCATTAGTTTTTCCTCCCCTGTCTTGCTTGATTTTGACTTTTATTTGGGCAATGTTATGATGTCTGTCAAATATACAAGGGATTTTTTTTTTGTTTTTTTTAAAACTTTGTCTGTTATGTTTTAAAAGAAAGTTGACTTATAAAGTTCAATCATAAAATATGCAAACTTGGTCTAATAACAAGACCATAGATTTGCCAAGTTTAATCTGTCTAATTTTACACAATGTAGACAGTTATATTCATTTGTCAATTTTAAACTTTGTATATCACTATTTATTGACATTTAGATGTAGCAAATTGAGATAGGAACTGTCCTTCAAGATTGGCATTTGATACACATAAAGACTGTGTTTTAAAGAATTTTGGTCTCGTACAGTTTTCCACAAATTAAGTGCCAAATTGCCAATAGGCAACAAAGGGAGGCAGTTTAAGAATGCCTTCTCCCTTTGAAGACTGAGATGTGGAGAATTTTTATTTTGAGGGTTGTTAGTCTTTGAAATTCTCTCCCAGAAAACAATTAAGACAGGTTCTTTGAATTTATTCAGTGTTGATTTGGTAGATTTTGATGGACAAAGGATTCAACGCTTAGGAACATTGGAACAGGCGTAAGCCATTCAGCATCTCAAGCCTGTTCTGCCATTTAATGAGGTCGTGGCTGATCTATGGCCTAACTACTTATACCCACTTTGGCCCATATCCCTTAATACCTTTGCTAAACAAAAATTTACTAGTCTCAGATTTCAAACTAACAACTGATCGAGCATCAACTGCCGTTTGTGGAAGTAAGATCCAAACCTTTACCACTCTTTGTGTGCAGAAGTGCTTCCTAACATCTCTTCTGAGTGGTCTAGCCCTAAATCTCAGACTATGCCCCCTAGTTCTAGAATCTCCAACTAATGGAGATAGGTTAGATAAAAATAAACTATCTTTTCCTGTTAATATCTTGAAGAACTTGATCACCTTTAACTTTCCACTTTTAGAGAAAACAGGTGTAACTTGCATAATCTCTTCTCATAACTTAACCCTTGAAGTCCCACTATCATTCTTGTAAACATAGATTACAGTCCATCCAAGGCCAATATAGCCTTTCAAAAGTGCAGTGTACTGCTCTCAGTATGCCAGTGGGGTTAACCAGGGTTTTGAATATCTGCAGCATAACTTCTGTGCCTTATACTCCAGTCCTCTGGATATAAAGACCAGCATTCCATTAGCCTCTTTGATTATTTTCTGTACTTGTTTGTGGCATTTTAAAGATCTGATCACCTCGACTCCCAAGTCTCTTTGAACATCAGTGTATTTAACTGCATACCATTTAGGAGATATCCTGATCTATCCATTTTCAATCCAAAATGGATAACCTCACACTTGCTTGCATTGAACTCCATCTGCTGCAGTTTTGCCCATTCACCTAGTCCATCAATTTTCCTTGTGACTTTGTGCGACACTGTCTACAATGCCACCTAACTTTGTGTCAAGCAAATTTGGACATATGACTTTCTATGCCATTACCCAGTCATTAGTACATAATGTGAATAATCGATACAGAGACTTGTGGCACAGCACTGGTCGCACCCTGCCAATTTAAGAACCTATCCATTATCTGTACTTGCTTGCCACTCAATAATTTGTCCTGATTTACATGGGATGCAGAGAGGATGGTAGAGTTGAGACTACAACTGGACCGGTCATGAGCTTATTGAATGATGGAGAAGGATCAAAGGGCTGAATCGTCTACTGTTGCTCCCGATGCGATGTTTGAATCTAAGACACATTTCCTTATTTCTAGTGCATCTGGATATGATACAGAGTCTGTTCAGTGAACAACGCTGAACTTTGAACTTCCCCAACATGGCATCGATTTTCATCTGTTCTAATCATACAGCCATATGCTAAAACACAGACTAATAATTCATGATTAACTTTCAGCATTTATACTGAGAGCTACAGGGGAAATTTTTTTTCTTGTAGGTACATCGTAAAATTAGAGAAGATTCTGACATGGCTCAGGACTCGTTGCAATGCTTGGCACAGCTGGCCTCTATCCATGGACCTATATTTCCTGATGAGAGAGCGCAGGTTGATTACCTGGCTCATTTTATTGAAGGATTACTCAACATGATTAATGGGTATGTTTGGGAGCAAAATGGATTACTTTTTGTGTCTTCACAGGTTATTTGAGGATACCTCCTTTGATTCCATGGTAGACAAAAGTAGGAATTGCCAGAAAAGCTCAGCAGATCTGGCAGCATCTGTGGAGAGAAATCACAGTTAACATTTCAAGTTGAGTCACCCTTCCTGAGTACTGAGGAAGGGTCACTCGACCTGAAATGTTGACTGTGATTTCTCCGCAGATGCTGCTAGACCTGCTGAGCTTGTCTAGCAATTCCTGTTCTTGTCTCTGGCTTAACAGCATCTGCAGTTCTTTCACTTTTGATTCTATTGTAATTTAATTTCAAATGAAAAACTGCAAATATAAATTAAACTGTAGGACTTCTGACTTTTTAGAAAATCAGATTTTTATTTTGCGATTCTTATCATTACAGTTTACATTTGACTTCTAGCCCACTTAATTTTCCAGGATAGAAATCGAAGATTCTGAAGCTGTGGGAATTTCCAATGTTATGAGCAATTTAATTTCGGAGTTCCCGCGCAGTATCTTAACTGCCATTCCAAGTGAACTATTTTCCTCCTTCATAAACTGCCTCACACATCTCACCTGCTCTTTTGGAAAGAGTGCTGCCCTGGAAGAAGTAGTAAGTGTTTGTTTTTCATTTTACAATAACAGTTTTGCCTTAACACTTGACTTGAAGACAAACAGAGACTGGAATATTGTCACATTTCTGATGGACTTCTCTCTCAAAATTACAAATTTTCATTGTACCATTGTACAACCCATACATGTACTAGCCAACTCCAAAGGGATACGAATATTATCAACCTGGTTTGGACATTAATCTCAGGTCATTTTTCTGCACTGAGTATAGTAAACAGAGTGCAGCAAGAGTTCACCAGACTGATTCTTGGGATGATCTTTGAGGAGCAATGAGCCTCTGTTGTCTGGAGTTTAGAAGGACGTCAAAAAGTGAACTAATTGAAACAAATACAATTCTTGCAGGTTCAACAGAGAAGATGCAGGAAGGATGTTTCCCCTGCCTAGAGGGTCTAGAACATGAGTCACAATCTCAGAATAAGAAATGAGAGATTTTGGACTGAGATGTTGAAGTTTTTTCACTCAATATGTGGGAAATCTTTGGAATTTTTTACCCCAGAAAACTAAAGGCTCAATTATTGAGTATGTTCTAGACAGATGGTTTGATTTCTAGATATTAAAGATATCAAAAGATGCGGGTAGTGGGAGCAGGAAACATTTATAGGTAGAAGATCATCCATGATCTATTTGAATAACAAAGCTGGCTTATAGAGCAGAATTACCTGTTCCTGCTTCTAGTTCCGTTGTTCATGCTATATATCCAAAGAAATCTATATATTTGTGTGATAGGTATTGTTCTGCTCTAAAGAGAGAAGTTTATTTTAGTACAAACTCTTGGGGCCAGATTTTCTGATGACAGACAACCATGATTCCAGTGTAGGTGAAAGGTGAGATGGGACCCCACGGAATCCCTATTGTAGCAGTTTCCAAACACCACCATCCACCCACCCAAGTAACTATTCAACTGACCTCCTATTTACCCCTCTCACCCTCAACTACACCACTTACAGCTCCTAGACCCTAACCCCACCCCAGACCCAATAACCCTGTGACCTGCCCTCCTCTGGACCTATTCTGTACTTCCCTGTCTCTGGAGCCATTGTGGGCTCCCTGCCTTGTTGTGAATTCAGTTTGCCTCTCACTTTCCTCGCCGTCAAACCGTACCATCCTGTACCCTTCACTGGACTTTCCCACCTGACCTACTGTGAGCACTGAATTTCATACCCATCCTCCTTGCATTTGGATTCCTATCCACCTGGTTGCCTACCTACTTAGCACTCCTATCCCTTACCCCTTGATACCCTAACCATATGACATGTTAAACCCAGAACCTATTGACACTATGCCTTCCACCTGTCACCCTACCTCCAGGACACTAAGCTTTAGCACATCACCCCAGCATCTTGCACCTGGCACCCTGCCCACCTGGCATTTTATCTCCATGGTAGCCCACTCCATACCTACTTTGCATTCTACACACCTGGCACCCTATACTGTACCCACTTGGTACCCTAAACCCAGCACTCTTCCGCTATTCATGCCACCTGGCAACCTATTAATAACATTTTAAAATGAGACCCTAAACCTCCTGGCAGCTTGCCCACCTGGCGCCCTAACCCTCAATAATACTCCATGCCCAAGCCATCTTACATGCTTGGCACCATGCCCTTGCATGTACCTTATGTGCTTTTCATATGGCAGCCATTTTGATAGCTTCTGTCAGCAAATCTGAACCTTTGCATTTCGGAATATGGCAGCTACCTGCTATGAAAAGAGTGTGTGTTTTCTGCACTACAAAAGAACTCTTAAGATGAAAGTATAGTTCCAAATTTCTGGAAGAACCCTTATTTGACTCTCCTGATTTCCCATCAGAAGTGCAGAATGCTCTCGTTTCATAAAAAGAATTGATGAGTGGTAGTCTAAGAGAGATTAGCACTCCGTGGAAAATCCAGCAGGTGGTTTTTAATAGCTTGACATCATAGCAGGAAAGTTCATTTAAAAAAAAATTAAAAGACAAATAATTCCTCCAATGGCTTGACTGTTTATGGCAGAGATTTGCTGACCCATACAGATTGAAACCTGTTGTGCTGAATTTGAAGAAGTAGCACATAGGGTGCAATTAATAATCTCAGTCTGTTGGAATACTGATGTAAAAAATTGATTTCTAGTCAGAAATACCTCTTGCTGGAGATATATTCATGCGGACAAGTGAAGGCAAGATTAGACCTGCCTGTGAGATTCACCGCATTTAAGAACCCGCTGACACTCAGTCTGAGCCTAATCTGAATAGCTGTTTCAACAAGGTATTGTCGAGGGCTTGAGTCCCTTTAAACCATATTCCAACAAGAAATAAATGCCTTTTAACAAACAAGATTGAACAAAATTGCTAGGGATTTGAAGAGCGGTGCAGGAAGATGATGTTGGAAAAGAGGGGAGGAAAATAGTGGCACTTTTTCTTTGACAGTAAATGCTTTGTAACTGTGTTTTGGGACTTTCTTCACATTGCATGAGATTTGGATCCTGCTGTTAAGATGGCTTTCAGTAAGTTTTAAGGGGGTGTTGAAATAGTAGTAATACATCAGTTTACTCAGATTTGTAAACGTGTTTTCCAATTTTGGCAAATGTAGCAGCATATTACCATTATGCATGCAAGGATGCAGAAGTATATGTAGTTTATCGATGATATGATTTTCTGAATTCTTATTAAATGGGTTCCTTGCCAACTTCATCTCTTAATGTTACTATTATTTTTTAAATTTGATGTTGATGTTCTGTTAAATAAACTCTATTTGCATTATATTTGAGTATTGTTCACCTATGGTTCTGGTTATAGATGTATTGACCAAAAAGAATGGTATCTACTGACTTTTGTCTTTTTTATTTTGATATTCCTACCTACTGAAAAACGTATTTTTAACAAAGCAGATATGAAAAATTAGTGAGTTTGTGGTGACAGGAAGTGAGGAGGTTAAGTTTAGGAGTCAATTAGTTGTGTATTTTCATAACTTCTCAAGTGCTTGAGCTTACAGAATCATTCAAGATTATTTCCTTCTACTCTTGCACAACTGCTAGCCATTTCACAGTAGCATTAGCATAATCTTCAAGGCATTCTTCAAGAATAGTATCTAGTATGATGGTGAATGGCAAAATTATGGTTATCAAATGCAGTTGAAGAAACTACAAAAGATAGTTAAATTTATAAGTGAACTAAGTCAAATCCACAAATTTCGTGGTGTAGATAAAAGAAAATTCCTACTTCAGTGTAGATTGGCACAATTTCAGTTTTGCTTAGTTTCAGTGTATTGACTATGTCTCATGTAAGTTGATTTGCACCTTTCAATGTGTATACGTACATAATGTTATGAAGTTGGGTAGAGTAATTGTGAAGTGGAAGGCAGAAGGGAAAAATGTGTGGTTCCTTTAAGAGATTTGTGCTTTGTCTGTACTTGCATACATGTTTTTGAAAAAATTCTGAGAGCAGCAGCTTAAATTTTCAGTACAGAGCCTCAAAAAGTGAAATGAGCGTGTCAGAGCCTTGCAGGTGACAGGCAAAACAGCAGTCTTGTTTTGATATAACAAGGTGTAGAGCTGGATGAACACAGCAGGCCAAGCAGCATCAGAGGAGCAGGAAGGCTGACGTTTCGGGCCTAGACCCTTCTTCAGAAAAGAAATTTTCAGAAAGCTCTACACCTTGTTATCTCAGATTCTCCAGCATCTGCAGTTCCTACTATCTCTAGTCTTGTTTTGATGTTGTGACAACGAGTTTGAATTCGGCCAATTAATTTAAACAAAGCATCTAGAAACAGCCAATTGAATTTAAATCTGATGGTATTGACAACCTGAAACCAATCATATTATAAGAATTTGATTGTCATTACTGGTATATAAGACAGGGGCATTTGGAAAATTGGGGAGAGCCAACTGCCATCTGAAAGAGAGAGCCATCCGCCACCTGCCAGAGTTAGCACCATTCAGCTCTCAGAGAAAGCCCATCTAATTAATCAAAGGTACCATAGTATTTTAGTTCGGTCGTCATTGAAGAAATTATAGCGATAAAGCATCCCTGACAGCAAAATTAAGGGAAGAAAGGTGTTTATGAGGAGAGTGGAGACAACAGAATATTCCACAAGACACTCTGTGCGAACTTGGAGAGACTAAGTTATACTTTATTGTTTCTTATTAATTGGGGTTATATTAGTGGGACTTGTTTTTATTTAAACAACATTCTAGTAGAATTTAGACCAGTTAGGCAGTAGTTAGTAGTCTCCGGGGGAATTGTCAGTTTGTTAGTAATTTTGTTAATTTGTTCATTGTTGGGTTAAATAAGTAAATTGTTTCTTGTTACTTGTAAAGTGGAGATCAGGGATTTTCTTTCTTTTAACCATTCTTTTAATTGATTATGAGGGGAAAGGAGAGCTTCTCTAAGATGTTTTGGGGGTAATTATTAGAGGGGAACCCCTACTCCTGTCTTAAAAGACTGGAGCTTGTGTTTTAGTTTATTTATCAGAGGGGTTCAGCCATTCCCTGTCATTACATTTACTAATTTTTGCACAATTTTCAAACAGTGTTATAAATGTATATTAAATTATAAATGCTAACTTAGTGCTATAAAGCTCAGCTGCTACTAGAATTTGTAAAATAAACATATCCTGCTAAAATTAAGATTTGTGTGTTAGTTTTAATAATCCCTGTATTTAACCCCTAAGCATTCTCGTCCATATCTGTGGTATATTTTTCCTTTCTAGTACAGTTTTGGAGAAAGACACAGTCGTTCATTATTTATTCACTCAAATTAAATATGGAAGATTCAAGCTGTTCAAACTCTGAGGTCATTTATATTTATGGTTTTATTCAGCGAATTGCTTACTTTTGTGTCTTGTTTCTACTCAAAGAACAAACTGTATTGGCAATACCTCTTAAGATTTTGGAGTGCATTTTCACTGTAATTGTAAGACCCATATCAATTACAATTGTAGATCAGCTCTTTCAAAACTCAATGTAAAGTTTACCAGTTCTGATTAGTAACAAGATCCATTCCAGGTATAAAAATGTTTCAGTATGTTTTATAGAATTTATTGTGATTCTCATAACATATACAAAATGAACCACACTTAATACAAGCAATGACAAAAACGGGGGTTGCTGGAAAAGCTCAGCAGGTCTGACAGTATATGCAAAGAGAAATCAGAGTTAACATTTCGGGTCTGGTGACCCTTCACAGATGCTGTTGGACCTGCTGATCTTTGCCAGCAACTTCTGTTTTTGTTTCTGATTTACAGCATCTGCGGTTCTTTTTTTTAAATACAAGCAATGGTTGTTCTCGCTATTTGTCAGGATGCCAGTTGACCACACCGGTTTGACTTGGCACAGCTCTCTTACCCTACTGACTGAAACTGTAAAGCTACTACCCTCTGCATGATCAGAGATGTTTTAAAGTCTAATTGGCTTATTGTGGATGAACAGGACATGATGAATCTTGGATTAATTAAATAATATATGCCCAATTCCTGATTGGTTCCTACAAAAATAGTGGTCATTGTGGTAAATCTTCCTACTGTCCTGTCATTCATTTGTTAATATGCCAATCATTTTATATAAACATCCCTTTTGTAACAGCTTGTCCCTCCTAGCTTACCAATTCTGCAAACCTTTACGAAGATAAGATGGCACCAGTAACAGGTTAAGGCATCTGCTTGGAGAATGTTGTGACATCTCTTTCAGATTGACTGTCATCCCAAATATCTCAATTGGTACATCTAAGATGATACATTTAAGATTGCAAGAGTTTCTATAGAACCTCATTCCAGAAACAACCACCATTATTAAACAGAATGCAGTTTAACCCCTCACTCCCTTAATTAAGTCAAAATGATTAATTTTTGAAAAATAACTCAAATGTACACTGTAAACATACTTCATTTAAGTTACAAAATGTTTGAGGTTTATTCTGCAACAGTACTTTATTAAGAGGAACTAACAGCACAGTACAATTCTGCTTGTAGTTTTGATCATTGATATCGGAACAGTCTGATGATCAAAAACAGGTTTTTCCTACACTGACGTTGCAATGGGCTTTCAGAAAATGCTTCGGCGTACAGTCGCGGAGAGGCTATAATGTTTTTGTATTGATATTAAACTTGACATTATTTTGTTTCTATATATCTATGTTCCATTAAGTTGAGTCACTTACTAAAGAGTGACTGATGCAATATATTTATTTATAGTTGGACAAGGATGACATGGTGTATATGGAGGCATACGATAAACTACTTGAATCGTGGCTTACCCTTGTACAAGACAATAAGCATTTCCATAAAGGGTTTTTCACTCAACATGCTGTACAAGTTTTTAATTCCTACATTCAATGTCATTTGGCAGCACCAGAAGGCACAAGAAACTTGGTGAGTACTCTTTCAAGTTTTACTTTGTTTCATTTGCTTAGTGTAGAGGACTATGCTTCTCAACTGTCATAACACCTTGACTAAAATGAAGTAGCAAATCTTTTATTCTTGCCTTCTGGCCACTTTTGTTTCAGAGGGCAGCGGTACCACCTAAATTTTATTGAAGTTCTAAAATAATCTTTTGATGTGGAGCTGCTTTGGGTCTCATTATCCAATAATAACTGTATTTGCTTTGAAATTCTGCTGTTGGTATTTTTCCTTCATTGTTTGCTCCCTGTTGTTTTATTGTGTCTCCGGAAAATGTTGGCATGGAAACTAGATGCTCTCCACTGTAATTATTGCTCATATGTGAGTTGTAGCAAGCTACTTTTCAGATTTGACATTTTGTGGGTATAACAGCTGAACATTATCCTGTGCTCATTTGATTGATGGCATGTAACTTCCAGCAAGGTCAATGGAAATGTAACAAGGATGACCTTCGCTTTCTCAATCTTAAAGGGTTTAAGCCAAGTGTACCACTGCAACTGCTATTCCATCGGAGATCAGATAACAGCACACATTGGGAATTGGATGTGGAGATATGGGGGGCAGCTTGCTCAGTTACATTCTAACTTTATCAACTGAATGAAATGTGAATCATTAAATAATTTTGAATGGGGGAAAAGAAAACCAAGCGTGCAATACTTGATAGATAATTATGTGCAGAAAGAGGCACGGAATAGATCTGCTTTAAGTCACTTTCCATAACTTTCAGTGAATAAATACCACTTGTGCATCTAATTATGGCTTCAGGTTTATTGTTCTGCATAATGTGTTTCTGATGATTTATGTAGCATTGAAGTAGAATTAAGCAAAGTGGATTGATAAATAAACATTTATTTCACGCATTAAACTGATGTAAACTGGACTAGTTTTTGTTTTACCTGGAGACGTAGGTATCACTGTTAAGGCTAGCATTTACTGCTCATCCTCAAGCAATTGGTATTGAACTGTAGTCTTAACTCCTTTAGTAAATGTAGTGTTGGAGAGGATGTTCCAGAATTTTGACCCACTGACAATGAAGGAATGTCAACATAATTCCAAGTCAGTATGGTGAATGACTTGGAAAGGAACTTGCAGGTGTTGAAGTTCCCAGTTTTATACTACTATTGTCCATCTTGTCACAGTTGCACATTTGGAAGGTGCTGTAAAAGAAACACTTTGTGAGTAACTGCAATCCATCTTGTAGAAAGTGCACACTACTACCTGTGTTACAGATTAAACAGGGTGTTTTGTCTTGGATGGTATTGAGCTACTTGAGTATTCTTGGAGCCACAATAATCCAGGCAAGTGCCAAGTATTCTAACATGCTCCTGATGTGGAGAGTTAGGAGCTACTTTGCTGCCATTACTCAGCCTTTACCCGGCTCTTGTAGCCACAGTATTTAGTTAGGTTTTTGGTAAATGATAAACTGCGAGATGTTGATGTTAGGGAACCTGAGATGGTATCACCATGGTATATACCATGGGGAGATAATTTAATTATCTGTAGTTGGCGACAGCCATTACCCAGTACCTAACAGCCAAAGGCTGATTGCTGTGAGCAAATATGGACTCCTTGTGCAGCAGAATCTGAGAAATCGTGAATTGTACTGAACGCTCTGAAATTTTCAATGAACATTCCCATTTTTGATCATATGTTGGAGAGAAGGTAATTTGATGAAGCAGCTGATGGGGGTTGGGTCTAGTATATTCCCTGAGGAACTCGCATAGCATTGTAATGAGTAGCCTTCTAACAACCCAAATCATCTATATTTCTATTAGCTATGTCAGATTTTGGGATTCACTTTAACAGTAAGACGTAAGTCAGTTACAATGACATACTAAATTTGAGAGAGTATGTCTAAAAGTTTACTAATCCTGATTAATTACAAGACCTGTTCCAGGTATAAATGTTCATCCAAAACTCTCAACTTAAGTTCTTCATAACAAGTACAAAAGAAATGATATGCAGTAAAAGCACTGGTTTCCAGTTGGTTCAGCTTGGGACCCTGAATGGTGGGCATGTCTCTTGTTGAATGAAGTTCTCCTTCTGTCTTTGGTTTTCCTTTCTTGTGGACTGAACTACTAAAATGTACCCCTGCTAGCGACTACCACCTGTGCTTAATCAGTGGCATCTTGAAATCTAATTGGCTTGCCAATATATGAATAACACTTGATCAATCGTCGATTGAATATGATAATGCCTGATTACTAATTGAATTTATTGAATTCATTGAAAGTAATGGTCATCTTGGTGACATCACTTCCTATTGTCTCCTGATTTCTTTCTTTCTAAGATCACCTCTTTTTGGAAACATATTGCCTGTAACAACTTTCCAACTTGTTACATCTTTTACGTCTTTACTGATAATTGGTATTAATAGAGTAACTGGTGTGACTGCTTAGCGCATGTAGTGTCACCCCCTAATAATTAGTATCATCCCAAATGCCCCAATGAATATATCTAAATATTGTCCAAAATCTATCAATATCCTATAGCTAAAAGTACCATGTATGATTCTGTAATAACCAATTACTAAAACTGAGATAACAAATTTCAGTTGCAAGCTGCAACAAAATAACTAAAAGTTATGCAACAGTCTGTTTCATTAACTTACAAAATTAAACCAGTTTAAAACATAGCTGTGTATTTGATAAAAGCCTTCTCCTTAACATTTTTATATTTGTTAGCCAAAGTTTACATTAGCTTGAGTTCTGAAAGCAACCATGAACGTATGGTCTCAGTTTTGACTTGGGCCAAATAGCTATTCTTCTTAACAAAAAGTGTTTACAAGTAACCACAATTAAATAAAATGTGATACCTCACTTCCTTAATTGAATCAAAATTAATAATTATGGAAAAATCTACAGGTATGACTTCACCTAGTGGAGAATTTTCCTCCCTAGCTCCCACTGGCTTCAGTTTTGCTGGTTCTCCTTGATGCTGCACTCAGTCATGTTCTGCCTTAATGTGTAGGGCAATCACACTGGCTTCACATTTGACATTCAGCTCTTTTATCCATGATCTTTTCTCTGGAGTAGGGGAGTCCAAAACTAGAGGGCATAGGTTTAAGGTGAGAGGGGAAAGATTTAAAAGGGATCTAAGAGGAAGTGGTGAAGGCTTGTCAATTACAGCATTTAAAAGACATCTGTATGGGTATATGAATGAATAGGAAGAGTTTAAGAGGGATATAGGCCAAATGCTAGCAAATGAGAATAGATTAATTTAGGATATCTGGTCAGAGTGGACAAGTTGGATCGAAGGCAGTTTCTGTGCTGTACAGCTGTCTGACTCTTATCTATGACTCTGTAGTACCAAGAATATAATGAGGCCTGGAGTGGCCCTGGCAGAACCTGAACTTGGCAACAGTGAGCAAGTTATTGCTGAGTGAGTGTGGTTTGACAGCACTCCCAGTTACATCCGCCATCATCTTCGCTGATAATTGCAAATAGACTGATAAGGCAGTTTTTTTAATTTGTTTGTTTATTGGACAGGAATCCCCAGAACCAAGTAATTGCTTCCTTGTTTGCTGAGGTTAAGGTAATTAGTTGGCCACTTGTCTGTATAGTGCAGCATGAATGGTTTTAACTAACTTTTGTGGGTTTTCATCAATTGATAGATGTTTGTGAGGCCAGGAAACCAGAGGTTAGTTCCTTTTATGATCCACGTTGTTGTGTTCAATTGAGTATCCACAAAATGTGTATGAGATATTTTATGCCAGATTTGTGTGCAATACTCTGCACAGTATGGTAGGGCAATTGCTGAGGTTCACCAGTTGTCCAGAAAGATCCAACAAGTTTGGTTAACAGGATGTTTTTAGTTTTGATCAGAGTTGTTTTCTTTAGATGCTTGTGGACAGACAAAGTCCCATCTCAAGTTGCTGTCAAATATGTTGGATTGGGATTATGCTTTAGTTTCATTTAGGTGTTTATTTTTCAGTACTGGTATTATGTAGGTGAACATATTGGATACAGTTGCATAGAGTTTCGGTGAGAGATTCCATGTAATGTAGTAACCTGTCAACTATGAAATGGCTTTACTAAGGATCTGTTCCAGGGTGCAGATGGGTGGACCTTGGGTGGCACGACAGATTCGTCAACATTCTAGCAATAGTACTGTAAGACCTGTAGTCCAGAACTTGCTGTGTCTTTAGCCAAGCTGCTCCAGTACAGCTACAACACTGGTGTATACCTGATAATGTGGAAAATAGCCCATGTATGTCCTGTGCACACAAAGCAGGACAAATCTAGCCCAGCCAATTATTGATCAATCACTCTACTCTCAATCATTGGTAAAGTGATTGAAGGTGTCATCAACAGTGCTATTAAGCAGCACCCTGCTAAATGCTCAATTTGGGTTCCGCCAGAACCACTGAGCTCCAGATCTTTATAGTTTTGGTTCAAACATGGACAAAAGAACTGAATTCCAGAGGTGAGGTAAGTGTGGTGGCCTTTGGCATCAAGGCCGCATTTGGCCAACTGTGGTATTGAAGAGTCCATAGGAATCGAGGAAAGCGCTCTATTGTTTGGAGTCTCATCTGGCTCATTGGAAGATGATTGTGGTTGTTGGAGGTGAATCATCTCAGCTTCAGGACATCTGTGCAGGAGCTCCTCAGAGTATTGTCTTGAGTCCAAACATCTTTGGTTATTTCATTTCCCTCCTTTATAAGGCCAGAGAAGTGGTGATTGCACGATATTCAGACCCACTTGAGATCCCTCAGATGTTGAAGCAGTCCATGTCCAAATCCAGTAAGACCTGGACAATATCCAAGCTTGAACTGAAAAGCAGCAAGTGACATTCGCATCCCATACATCAGGCAATGACCACCTGCGATAAGGGACAATATAACCACCACACCTTGACATTCTGTGGCATTACTATCACTGAATTCTCCCCCGGCATCAACATCCTGGGGATTACCATTGATGAGATACTGAACTGAACTAGCCATATATAGTACACTGGCTACAAGACCAGAT